GATGTGTCCGTGTACCAATTATCGTTTTGGACTCACGTCACGGGTGCAGACACCGGGTCCGCCGATGAGCCGGGGGAAGGTGTCGAAATTGCAGAAGAAGCCAGGCTCGCACACGTGAAAGGGCAAGATGTTGCCGCCGCAGCGCCCACCCGGTCCGCTCTGGAAATGAAAACGGGAGGAAAGGAGATGGTGTCAGATTAAGGAACGAGACCCCGTTGGCACTTTCAGGCAAAAGCAGGACGGGGAGCATACCACGCCACGCTTCTCGATGTCGGAAACCTGGAACGATCGGGGATTGTCGAGAACAAATGTTTAGCCCAGAATGCCGTGAATGCGTGCCAACCACAAGACATCGTTTGGAAAGCAGTTGGGTAATAGGGTGGATCTTTGGAGCACGTACAATATCCGAGCCTTTCAGCGAGACAGGTGTGGCGACCGCAGCGGTGGCGAGCATAGCAACGGCGAGGGAGTGGTGAATCTGCATCGATAGCGAGTGGAGAGGAGGAAAGAGCTATGGAGATGAAGTGGGGGGAGTGATCGGAGTTCAGGAGCTGATGGTGGGAGGGATCGCCCGAACCACCGGTCACTCAAATAGGCGACCAGGTGTGTGGCTCCACCCCCCCACCCCCCGGCATATGTCATGGGGGAATCAGAGGGCGAGGGATTGGGGTAATTCTTGGGTGCGCTGGAGGCGTCATTCACGGCGTCGCAATAATCAGCGCTGGGATGCCTCCTCTAGTTCGACCAGCTCAGCTCATCCTCTACACGACTTTTTTTTGGACGTTGAAGACTGTTGAAGACATGCACGGCTCAAAGCCGCCGATACTCAGGATCGAAGTGAGGCGAGGGGGAGAGGCAAGACCAAGAAAATGTTGGATCCATGGAATAAATAAATTGGGGGGCTGCTGCACTGGAAGCCTTGAACGAATATCTGATCAGCTCAGATCTAATGGACCACTTCACATTCGGGTCTGAGAATGGTCTGAGTAGCTGACCTCAAAATCACACAGGTGTTGCTGCTGTTTAGTCGCATCTGTGAGGCGCCCGCCTCACCCGCTCAACGGACGTCTTGTCCGCCTAATATGCACGATGCACGTCAGGCCGATAGTTTTGGTCAAAAAATGGGGCGAATGATGACAACTGTTAGCTCCTCCTGCCCCTCAAAGGAGGGAGGTAGGTACCCGTAAGTTTTGAGGATAAGGGCTTGGGATTCTTGGCTGGGAACCATCCCTCTCCCCACCTTGCAACCCCCACGGTCGGGAAAGTTTCGTTTCGTTGTTGGCGCCTCGACCCGCGGCCCGCTATCTGATTGCCCTCTGTCTTCACCCCTTCAACCGCATGATTCGATCTGTCATGCCAGTGCAGATATCTTTCATTTTGAACGCGGAAGCCCGAGGTCCGGGGAGCCGCCAATTGTCAGTGGCAATGGGATGATGGGATAACCAGCGGAAGGCGAGGGTAAAGAATATGGTGGGTCCCAAGGAATCTGAACAGGAATCGCTAAGTTGGACAGTTGGTGGCTCCACTCGTGGAGGGGGGCGGGGGAGGCCGGTCGGAGAGAAGGTCCAGGGCGGGCGGAGGGGAGGCGGGGATCAACTTCACGTTGTCGATGGTCGCTGACCCTCTGAACTTTTGGCTTCTGGGTACCCAGTTGGTCATTCTTTGTTGAACTTCACGGAGGTCGTATCCCGATGATGATGAGTTGGGAACCACTTCGCAGAGTCTAAGAGTCGCATCCGTGGGGCCAAGGACCCCCCCCCCCCCCCCCCAAGAAAAAAAAGCGCCCCCACGTTGGTGGAGAGCCTAGAGCGCAAGTAGTTGTCACTTGAACAACTATTCCTCCCTCAGCCTGCAGCCTCCTCAAACTCACCAAATCCCGCAACAGACCTCACGAAGAACAATCTCCCCTCCCGGCTGACCCTCGATCGAAAGCAGCACATATAATTCCAGGTAGGTGATGCAACCTGGGTAATGCGTCCAAGGTAGCAGTTGGCTTCGGTCTGCTTGGGAAGCTAGACACCGAAATGAGACAAATACCTCGCCGATAATGTGATCCTGATTCCTGTGCGATGCCCATAATCTATTTGACCCCAGCATCTTCCCCTATCGTCGTCCAAAGTCATTAAAATAGCCTCTTGAATTCTCAGCAATCTTTGTATCGAGAGAACGAAGCATGCCAAGCAAAACCAATCCCCCCTATCACTTTCCAACAATCGCTCCCTTCCCTCCCTCCCCCCGCGGCCTTGCATTCGTCCCTGGGAAGAAGCGTTTCCGATGAGCGCGCGCCATCAAAAAAATCCCCCTGCACCGGCGCCCATCGGCAGCGTCCGAACATAACCAAAATGCTCCTCAATGTGCCCACCGATTCCTTCACGGAGGCGAGGCCCCCGCTAGCCGATCCCAGCCCTTGCCGACGACGAACAAACGATCAAGATCGCGGGAGTTCAAGGCCGCAACAGGACGAGGAACACCCTCTTTGAGCTGTTCGAGTTCCACGGAGTAGCCGACTCCTAGATGATGGAGCGCCGGCAGGCGTTGGACGAACCAGCCGATGACGCGGGTCGAGTACCCGCCGAGGAGGTGAAGCGACCGGAGTCTGGGGACTGCATCCGGGAGCAGGAGGGCGAGTTCCGCGCGCATGCACCAGCCTCTCTCCCCGATGCGGAGGCGGGTGAGCGGTGCACCACGAGCGGAAAGGAGATCGCCGAGGGCGGTCTCCGCGTCCTCGGTCGCGAAAAGGCGCAGCTCACGGTCTCCGCCGAGCGTGAGCAGCGTCAAGGGACGGTAGGTTTTGAGGGCGCGGACCGTGTCGATTGTGACCGACGTGTTGAAGAGGCTGAGTTGTTCGATCGACGGGCAGTGGTCGATGAGCACTTTGACGGCCGCATCGTCTGTGAGGCGACCATCATCTTCTCCGGCGCTTGATAGGTCGACCGAGACAAGATGATGACAGCCTGTTGCAATGATCGCAAGCTGCGGGGCCAGGAGGTTACCGCGGCGAAGAGTTTTCAGTTCGGGGGAGTTCGCGGTGACTTTCTTCGCAGCGCCCGCCCACCCCGTCCAAGAAGTCAAGGTCGGGCCGGTGGCGCTGTTAATCGCGTGGTCGACAGCGACTGACGATGAATCGATTTGTAGAGACCGCAAACGGCGGACACCACCGATCATCGTTTTTCCCGCATGGTCGGTCTTCCAGAAGTCTTGCAGTGCTACATTGTTACGTGCTTGATTTCCCCATGGAAACAGAAGACGACAATGTAGGGGCAGGCCTCGAAGAGGTTGTCGAAGAACGAAGGGCACGAGGGGGCTCGCGCCTGTTGAATTGATCGACATGCATCGGAGTTTCGGGAGAAGATGTACTACGCTTGAGACCAAAAACTGCGAATCTGCAGGAATAAAGGGCGGCTCTGCCGTCCACGCCTCCGAGCGCCCGAACCCATCGGAACAGGAGCCGGAGCACGTCGATGGGAATAGTCGCCCACGTCCACGGTTCCCTCGTCGGAATGCACGTCTCGCAGGGAGGCGATGGAGGCCGCAATTGCGCGCAATCCAGTACGGCAGCGTCGACGTCATGCGTGCTTTCCTGCGGGCTAGCATCCTCACCGACTTCGCACAGCATGGCCGCGTCGACGTCATGCGCGCTTTCCTGCGGGCTGGCATCCTCCCTGACCTCGCGCCCGGCGCGGAAGATGCTGCGGCAAAATGCAAGCGTCTCGCCCTCCAGCCCACATCCGCGATTTTCCCCCAACAGCCTTCGTCTCGCCGGGAGGCGGTGGAGCCCGCCATCGCTTGCAAGCCAGGATGGCCGCCTCGACGTCAGCCGGGCTTGCCGGCGGGTTGCCACCTTCGCATGCGGCGCGGAAGATGCCGCTTCAAAGGTAAAGCGTCTCCTGCGCTCCGGGAAGGACGATGGCACCAGGCGTGCGCAAGCAGGCCGTGCAGGCGCGTTCTGCGGCGTCGAGGAGCCGAATGGCACTGGTCGGACATCGTTTTGAATCGCTGGTTGAGGATTTAAATAATGAATTGAGTGTGATGCGATGCTGGTGGTGCAGCCAGATCCTTTCAAGCTTTGCACTGTACCCTACCCTGAGAGGCTGCCGTCGGCGCGATGAGCCGGGTTGCGTTGGAAATCGTAGCCGGCGACGGGAACGTTTGGAAGAGGGATGGGGAACGTGTGGGAGAACAGACAACTTCCTTCCGAGAGGACAGATGCGCCAGATGACTGTGACGTCGATTTCAGTCTCAGTCGTAAGATCGCAGCAAGAGCAAGGCCTTCACACATCAGATGAGAGACGGCGCATGCCCCCAGCGCCGCCCTCCCTCGTGCAACTCTTAGCTGGCGACCCCTCCATTCCGCGATGCGATGGCTTGAACCGGCTGCTGTTTTCCCAGATCCCTCAAAAAAAACCAATCAAAAGCGAAAGGCATAAACGAGAATGGAAATGGGGCGTGGGAGGGTCGCATTCGTCATTCCTTTCCCGCTTCCTGTTCACTCATCGCCCATCACGCATGTACCTCTCAGGAAGGTAAAAGTGTTGGTGGGCGCAGAATGCAGGGCGATCCGCCGTGAAGGAATGCGATGCGATCTGACTTGTGGTGCCAGTTTTCTGCTCTCCACAGCGCGCCGGTCCCAAATCAATAATTGTGTGCGGCGTTTTCAACCTTCTCACCCGGACGGAAAGAGCTTGACGAGGGCGAGGTCGCTTCGATGTGTAGGTGTGCGGCCAAATCATCCTCGACATCGCGTGGGGAAGAAGCCATCTGCAAGTGCATGGTGCCTCGGTGGCGGTGGCCTCTCGCCGACGCCATTCGCCATGCGCGAAGTGAGGTTCCTGATAGTGTTACTTTCCCGAGGTTGTTGGGAAAACAAAAAACAAAAAAGTGCTCCGTGATGGCGCAATGACGGCTAAGCACCAAGTTCCACCACTGGCGACAACAACGCTAGTCACTACCGACAATGTCACCTCTGTCGCCAACTAATCTGTCCGCTCCAAACGCTGTACTGCCTCCTGGGAGATTTGAACTCCTCTACCTTCTGCTTTCGTTGGTTACTAGGCAGACGCTCTACCCCTGAGCCAAGGCGATGCTAACCGTTCATCAAATTCAGTTTGTGACCTGTGCGAAGAAATCACGTATCCTGCCCATCTGACTAAGGCGGAAGATAAAGAAGAAAAAAGAAAGAGAGGTAGGGATTGGTGCAGGATTATTGAATGAAACAGCGTTGTAGAAAATCTGATCGCCCCCCCCCCTCCCCCCCTCAAATTCCCGAGGGCTGATAATTATCTTCCAATCTCGAGAATCCGAACAGGCACTGGCAGGGACTGACCAGCCGCAGCCAGTGCCAGTTCACCGATCCTTTACTGGCTGGTAGAATCCTATCAGCGCGTTCGATTGTTTGCGTGTTGGGCGATGCCAACGGACCACCTCCAACTTTGCCTCTCAATGACGCGCGACCTGTCCGATCTTGTGTCCCTGGTCCTACTCCTCTCCCCCCGTTCACCACCATGGTTGGACTTGGAGCCGGAGGTAGCGTGACTTTTCTGGACGTCCCGGATTACTCCGTGGATCGCCGAGGCCTCACGATTCCTGAATTCAAACCCTGACTCTTCTCCTCTGGACCTCCCTCCCGCTGCGTCCCCATCTCTCTTAGTTTCCTTCCAAACAATGCATTGGAAGTGCTGGCATAAGATGTGAATACTGTAGC